AATTCGATAGAAAACTTCCTTCAAAAACGGCTGGAGCGTAATTACTGTCAAAAATAGTGACACCGGGGTATATTTTAATTTGTAATTTTTCGCTTCCTGAGATTTTTACTTTTTAATTCGTATTTTCCTTGTCGTCAACCTCTAAAATTCTCTGATTGTCACTCATAAAAGGAAATTTAGTTAGTCAAAATTAATCATAAATCAAAAAGGGAAAAGTTGAGATTAGTGACATGAGAATTCGGGCCTGGGCAAAAGGTGTCTCTTTGCAATATAGAGAAATGATAGGGACCATCCTGTTTAATAATCAATCTCTTAACATTTTTGAGGTTCCAATAGAATCTGGTAAATATAGAAAATAATTCTAATATACTCAAAGGGTTATTTGTAAGATGACTTTTGGGTAGGTTGAATTTAAAAAGTGACTGCTATATCGAGTCAATTCGATTTTTGTTTGGTTGACGTTGTAGTTTTCTGCTGTGAGTGAACGGAATGTGGAATCTGCGCAGGAGTGATGATCGTTCTTTTCTGCTCGCAAGACGATAGCCGGGAAACGTGTCGATTTTGGATTTGCTCGATAATATTTTCATGAAAGAAACAGCAATATAAATAAATAAATTTGATAAATAAACATTTGACCAAAACTGAGAAATTACATACTGCAGCCATTCTTAATCGGCGCGAGGTAGTTTGTTTGATTATAATTTTATAAATTAAATTTGTTTACAAATTTTTCTAAAATTCTTGCCACGTCACAACACTCCCTTACTAAAAGAGGGCCGAAAACGGCCTCTTGCGAAGGCAAGCAGTTCCGCCTCGCTCAATAATTGCAGAGTTTCTCAGTCCTAAAGTTAGTCAATAGTGTACTAAAATGAACTTATTTATTAGTCTTAGTGCGTATGTGGATTTCTTGAGAGCAATTCCTTAAATCTATTCTTGAAAAATAGTTCTTATTAAATGTTTCTGAAATAAATTTTATTTTATAAATAAGATCAATTTTCAATATTGTTTTGTGTTTATTTAAATCTTAAAAGGGGTGGAGTATCTGACTACGTTGAATAAATTGAGTCGAGTTATTTATGAAATTTAAGAAAATATATATTTATTTAATATAATTGTAATTTACAACCTATTGACGGATTTTAATTAATATCGACAATTATAATACTATTCATAATGATAATAATAATAATACGTAGAAATTTTCCTTTTTACTGAGATGAGTTCATATTTCGGGTTGGAGGTCTCTTTACCTTTTTCAAAAGGCAGTGTTTGCATGTTGTGAACTTCTCTTTGGCGTAACCACATTTACGGCAATAATGTACGTCCTCGGGGGGAATGTAGGGACAATTTTTATGTTTATGATTTTGGCTATCACAGGTCCAACAACCAGGGCGGGCTGGACGACGCAGCCAATCTACAGTGTTTTGGGGAACGTTTAACGGTTTCTTAATTGGAAGTTTCAATAGTGAGGGCAGAGGAGGTCTTTGAGCGGATGTTCAGTGATCGATTTGATAATGAAAGAGTGATGGTGGTACTCGTTCGTTGGATTCGGCAGAAGAGTAGCGATAACCTGGTCAGCAGGTATTTGTGGGGTTTTTGCGTGATGGATGGCGACTTGGTTCAGGCTTAGGGATTGGATCTTAAGTTCGAGGAAGAAGCGGGAATGGTGGTTTAAATGCGGGTTCTGGTTCGAAAGAGTTAGACTATGGAGTTTCTGGTTTCGAAAGTGATTCTTGAGGATTAACCCTCTGAGATTTCCTTGGTCTTTCAAAGTTTTGAGGTAGGATCGGATGAGGTCTTTTTAAATAGTCCTTAGACAGAATTCAGAGTTGTTGTTATTGAGGTCAGGTGTAAGTGGGTCTTCAGTTGTCACTGGGAAACTTTTTACTTGTTCGGGTTGGTCGAATTCGCCTTTATAAATGGAGGAATCGTCTACCGTAAACTGAGGCTATTAGGAACAGATTTCAACTTTAAAGTCTTGCAACTTTTTTGTGTATTGAAATATTGCCTTAATTTTTTGTTTCTTTTCATGATCTTGGCGAGCACATTGAAAGGTTAAATAATTGCCTTGATCAAAGCTGGAATTTTAACCAAAAAAAAAGAAAAAGACGCATTTTTTCGAAATTATAAAATGGGGCTATTAGGAACAAGGCGGTAAAAACCATTAGAAAACGTATTTTAAATTAAAGAAGTTATTTTTTATTGCTCGAAAGCAAACACAGAATATAAAACAAATGTGAAAACAAAACTAAAAGAGCGAATGTGTTTTAAACGTTGCTGGTATCATAGTAGAGGTCGATGATGGAATCACTAGTCGTTTTTGCGACTTGTCGGTACCAACACTCTTTTACAATTTCGAACCATCTTTGAACACTAAAAACCAAATTAGATAATAAAAAACAAAAGAAATTACGAAAAACTTACGTTTTTACAACACACTTTAACAATTCGGAAGAAATAATTGTGTTTCTTATACAAGGTGATCTGAAAATCGTATTCAAAATTGTAGAATTAGATTCAGAAAAAAATTCTAAGACAGCACTTTTTCTTTTTTTTATGAAATTCTAAATAGTTTTAAAATAAATTCAAATTAAATGGATTGAAAAGTCACGATAAATGTAAAGCATTTGAACACCATTTTTGTTATGCGGCAAACTTCTCTATAAAAAAAGTAAACAGAAGGAGTGGCTGTCTTTTCTTCTGCCGTGCAAAACTTAAGTGACATTTTAAACTTGTGTTTACGTTACATTATTTTATTATAATTATTACAATTATTCCCGTGCACCCTGCCACGCGGAGCAGTACATTACGGGTTTGTTATATAATAATAATAAAAATTACATTTATCAATAATGTAAACAATAAACTATGAAGTTTATCAAAATAAAAGAATAATTGCATCTTGCATAATATTCTGATTATATTTATAGAGGCAGTTCAAACAGACAAAAATAAAAATCAATATGTTTTGTCTTGTCCAGTGGGTTTCTAAAAAATCTATAAGTGTTGTTGGAAAGGAGCAAATTGTAAAAAAGAATCAAAATTTGGCGACTGTGGTTTGGTACGGGAAAACGTATAAAGCAAAAATAATTGCTTCTAACGGTTTGTGATAAATATTTTTTCAATATTTTCTTTAATTTTTTAAATTAATTATCTAAAAATATTATATGATAATCAATGAAATAATTTTCCTCACAAAATTTAAAACACAAAAAAACCTTTTATTATAAAATGTTTTGTTTAAAGTATTTAGAAATTTTTAATGTCTTTTGACATTTTCCACGACTATTTTTGTAGATATTTGCGAATTTCTACATTACCAACAAAAAAAAATTGTATTTTAAAATTCTACTTTTTTTCTAGAATCTTTAAAAATTTTCCCATATTTTTTAGGTTATTTATCATTCTTGGTTTCTGTATTAGAACCTTAAAAAGTCAGTAAAATTATCAACTTAAAAAAAAATGCATAAACAAAATTTTTCTTTTTAAGCTCTTTATCACTCGGAATTGAATTTAAATAAATTAATTTCTTCTCACGATGAGTAGTATTTTCAATACGTTTGCAATTATATATTTTTCTTTTTATTTTACAAAATCTTCGTTTTGTAGTTCAGTCTCGCTGAAATCGCTTAATATAAATTAAGCGATTTCAGCAAAACTCGTCTAAGTCATTTTCGTCCTGTCCAGACCCGTCTGTCTTCTATGAAACTCGTGGACCTATAAATATTCCACAATGGTAGAGGCGACACTGTTTTGGGGGGCCCAAAAATGCATTGAAATATAACAGTTTACACAAGAGAAAATAATTAAATAATTAAAAAATAATATTACATTTAAATAATTAATTTTTAATAAGATGTAGTCAATTTAAAAAATGTAGTGCATTTATATTACTTTTTCAGAAAACATGGAGACTTTCTTCGCTTCGAATATCAATAAAATCGTAAAACCGAGAATTGACTTATAAATTAATAAAATAAAATGAAAAAAATTGTAGACGTAACAGAAGGAAAACGAATCTTGTCAGAAAAAATCGAAATGTGTAAAAGAAGACAATTATTGAAGAAGGAGAGAAAGAAGAAGTTAATAATAAGATTATATAGTTTTTAAATTTTATTTTTGAAATAAATTGAATATATTTTGGAAAATTTAATGAATAAAAAATAATAAAATAAAGATGAATACATAAAAAAATACAAATAAGATTTTTAACAGTTAAGAACAACATTTAACTCTCGCTGATTGAATGGCTTAAAGCCTCGTGGGTTTTATGTGTAAAAAGTGATACTTTATTTGCCTAAAACAGGTGTAAAAATGAAAAACTTTTTTCTTGTCCAAAGAGTAAAACAATATATATATAGAGGATGACGCTGACTCTGACGTTAACGATGAGATTGTCGCTGTTGCTGAACGATTTTGAAATTTTTGCATCAGAATTTATTCTCCAATTTTTTTCTTCTTTACCAGAAGGTATTAAGTCACTGTTGCTGCTCTGCAATTTTATTACGACAGATTTCATTTTGTTTTCCTTAATTTTCTTATAGAATTTTAACTTTTTTCTATTTTATTTTGTTTTCCTTAATTTTCTTATAGAATTTTAATTTTTTTATATTTATGACACAAGAATTGTGACGTGCAATAATAAAATATTAATATAATAAAATAGCAAGCTTTCAAAATAAAAATTTTTAGTGTTTATAAACTTTATAACTGTATTATAAAGATTTTAAAAAAATATATTTTTAATGAAAAAGTCACTTTTAAAGATATAAAGAAAAGATTAATTTAAAAAATTTCTGACTATAAGGAATGGAAAGTTCTAGAAGAAAGAAGAGAACGAAATTGAATTGACTCGACATTAACAGAAGGAAGAAAACTAAAAAAAGACAAAGTTGGAATTTAATTATTAAAGGAAAATAAAATTTTATTTTTAAATAAACGTTCATTTTATTTTTAAATAAATTTAAATCATTTTGAAAATTTTAAAGTTATAATTAATGTAAAAGTAATTAAATTTTTTTGCCCTCCACACTGGCTTGCTTTAAAACTTCAAGGGTTTCCAGTGAAACTAATAAAATATTTGACAGGGTTGAAGAAATTTCTTTTAAAACTGCCAAATTTTCCTCATGCATTGCCCTCAATTCTGCAGTCATATCTCGATTTTGGTACTGAAATAAATATAAAAATACAGTTATATTTTAATTTTATTTTTTTAATTTATTTTATCTAAACTTAAATTACTGAAAAGAATTTTAATGAAATTAAAGGAAGAGTCGACTTTTGTCTTAGGAAATATGATTTAAGAAATAATGATTAAGAGGGAGTTAGTATCAGAATTTGAACCTGTTTTTCGAGGTACTACTGCACTTTAGAATTTAAGAAAAAACAATTTTTCTTTTATTGTTTTTTAACTCCTTAAGGCTTAAAAAAACACTTCCTAAAGTGCTCATAACCAATTGTCAATAATAAAAATAAAGTTTTTAAAAAGTATATTTATATATACTGAAAAGGAAGATGGTCTTGACGTTTCTGGTGACGTTGACGACTGCGTTGATAACTTTTTCAGCTTGTCGAGGAGAACACTTCCACCACTCTTCGGTAGTAGTTTTCGAGCAGGTTGCTGGCCACTGATGATAGTCTAGGATTAATAATTTTCAATTTAATATAATAATTAAACTTGACATATATTTTCAATACAACAATTTAAAACATAATCATATAAAATTTCAATTACTAAAAAATTGTTAAATAAAAAATCCTTTTTTTCTGCAATTTTTTTTAATTGCCCTTAACTATAAAACAAAATTTCCAACATTTTTTGGGAATCAAAATTTTTTATTTTTATCTTAATTAATAATTTGCTAAAAAAATAATTTTTTATTTTTAAACTCGACTTTATTTAAAAATAAAGCTTATAGGAATATTTTGTTTTGTAGTTAGTTTGGAAAAATCTATTTAAAAAATTAAAAATTTATATTTAATTAAACTATGCCTAACCTTTACTTGTTTTGATGGTGGTGATTCAAATGAATCAGATTCATCTCCTGATGACATGGAGCAAAGTAGCCCTTTTAATTAACGGTGATTTCCGCTCTCTTTTTATGACAATCTGTAAGAAAAAGAACAATTAAACTACAAATTCCATTAATTAGGGAATTTTTATTTAAAAAAGTGTTAAGGTAGATAATATTTTGAAAATATGTGCTAAAATTTAAAAAATTTAATTTTTAAATTAGTAAGAAAGTGGAATTTTAATTGTAATGAACTATTTAATGTTTAACTTATATAATTTTTAAATTATTACCATTCGGAATGATTAAATTTCTAAAAAGTATGGTGTTAATTTAGATGAGTTGTATTATGAAGTAAATTAAAAATTTTAAGTATTTACTCACACTTGTTGAATTATTTGCGCTATCCTTTTTTTCGCTTTATATTAATGGCAACAATCTTTCCTCTAAATCGTTTAGCGGAGTTCCTTTTGTGCTTTTATTTATATTTGCTTTGTTCAGGGGTACCAATTTTTTTCCAGTAATTTGATATCTAAATTTATTTTAGATTATTAAAATTACAAAAATTATTCTTGATAATTTTAGATAATTTGTTTCTTTAAAAAAATTTTTAAATCCATAGAATTGATAATATATCCATAAAATCTTCAGTAAAGCTTGTGAAAAATTCATCCTAAACAGTCTAACTATGTCATTTATTTTAACCACTCTAGAGAAAGAAAAGGGGAATTTTGTTCTTTTAGGAACATAATTCAAATTTTGTAAAGAATTTCGTTATTTTTAAAGATAATAATTGAATGTTTGAAGTGCATTGCAGAAATAGGTGTCTTTTTAAATATCTAAAAATAAAATGAAAGATGGAAAAATGGTATCTTACACCTTAAAATAAAATGTTTTCTAAAGTATCTTATAGAAATCTAAGATGCTTTATATATTTTAACAGTGATAAAAATATTTTTCCCATCTCAGAAATGTAAGTTTCTTCAGCTAGTTAATTAAAATATCTTAAATTAAGATATTTCTGGTGCAATAAGATGTTTAGCGATAAGTTAGTTGTGAATTGTAAGATGAAAAATAAATGTAATTCACTAAAAACTAAGATTCGTGAAGTATTTTACATATAAGTCCAAAGTTAACCTCAAAACTTTTTTCAAAAAAATATGCTAAAAATGCGTAACGAAGATACTTTAAACATCTTAAATTAAGATATTTAAAGAAACAAAAAAAATTTCTACCAAAACATCTTAAATTAGGATACTTCTTTTTGCAGTGTAAGATCTAAAATAGTAGAAATAAAAAAATGTCTTTGATTATTAAATGGCTAAAAATTGACAGGCTCTTGAAGTAAAAGAAGGAGAAAGAAATAAAGACACAGGGAAAAATAGAAAAAAATATAAAACGTGCAATTCTTGTTGACGAAGAAAGGTCTACCTAAATAATAAAATAAGGACAAATTTAAAGAACGGCTCGATACTAAAATTGAGGACGTATTTTTGAGAAGTTTTAAAATAAAAATAAGAACGTATTTAAGGACTAGAACGATAATAAAAAGAGGAAGTACTTTAGGACATTGTCGATAATAAAATCAGAAGATATTTGAGGACTAGCTCGATAATAAAAATAAGAACTAGCTTTAATATTAAAAACGAGGACGTATTTGAGGAATAGATTGATAATAAAAAAGGCGACGTATTAGAGGACTAGCTTGATAATAAAAATGAGGACGTACTTAAGAACTAGCTTGATAATAAAATTGAGGACGCGTTTGAGGACTAGCTTTAATAATAAAGACGAGTACGTATTTGAGGACTAGCTTGATAATAAAAACGAGGACGTAATTGAGGACTAGCTTGATAATAAAAATGAGGATGTATTTGAGGACTAGCTTGATAATAAAAATGAGGACGCGTTTGAGGACTAGCTTGATAATAAAAATGAGGACGTATTTGAGGACTAGCTTGATAATAAAAATGAGGACGCGTTTAAGGAATAGCTTTAATAATAAAAACGAGTACGTATTTGAGGACTAGCTTGATAATAAAAACGAGAACGTAATTGAGGACTAGCTTGATAATAAAAATGAGGACGTATTTGAGGACTAGCTTGATAATAAAAATGAGGACGTGATTGAGGACTTGTTTTAATAATAAAAACGAGGACGTAATTGAGGACTAGCCTGATAATAAAAATGAGGACGCATTTGAGGACTAGCTTCAATAATAAAAATGAGGACGTAATTAAGGACTAGCTTCATAATAAAAATGAGGACGCGTTTGAGGACTAGCTTGATAATAAAAATGAGGACGTATTTGAGGACTAGCTTGATAATAAAAATGAGGACGCGTTTAAGGAATAGCTTTAATAATAAAAACGAGTACGTATTTGAGGACTAGCTTGATAATAAAAACGAGAACGTAATTGAGGACTAGCTTGATAATAAAAATGAGGACGTATTTGAGGAGTAGCTTGATAATAAAAATGAGGACGCGTTTGAGGACTAGCTTGATAATAAAAATGAGGACGTATTTGAGGACTAGCTTGATAATAAAAATGAGGACGTGATTGAGGACTAGCTTGATAATAAAAATGAGGACGTATTTGAGGAGTAGCTTGATAATAAAAATGAGGACGCGTTTGAGGACTAGCTTTAATAATAAAAACGAGTACGTATTTGAGGACTAGCTTGATAATAAAAACGAGAACGTAATTGAGGACTAGCTTGATAATAAAAATGAGGACGTATTTGAGGAGTAGCTTGATAATAAAAATGAGGACGCGTTTGAGGACTAGCTTGATAATAAAAATGAGGACGTATTTGAGGACTAGCTTGATAATAAAAATGAGGACGTGATTGAGGACTTGTTTTAATAATAAAAACGAGGACGTAATTGAGGACTAGCCTGATAATAAAAATGAGGACGCATTTGAGGACTAGCTTCAATAATAAAAATGAGGACGTAATTAAGGACTAGCTTCATAATAAAAATGAGGACGCGTTTGAGGACTATTTTTAATAATAAAAATGAGGACGTATTTGAAGACTAGCATGATAATAAAAATGAGGACGTATTTGAGGACTAGCTTGATAATAAATATAAGGACGCGTTTGAGGACTAGCTTTAATAATAAAAATGAGGACGTAATTGAGGACTAGCTTGATAATAAAAATGAGGACGCGTTTGAGGACTAGCTTGATAATAAAAATGAGGACGTATTTAAGGACTAGCTTGATCATAAAAATGAGGACGCGTTTGAAGACTAGCTTGATAATAAAAATAAGAACGTATTTAAGGACTAGCTTGATAATAAATATAAGGACGCGTTTGAGGACTAGCTTTAATAATATAAATGAGGACGTAATTGAGGACTAGCACGATAATAAAAATGAGGACGTATTTGAGGACTAGCTTGATAATAAAAATGAGGACGCGTTTGAGGACTAGCTTCAATAATAAAAATGAGGACGCGTTTAAGGACTAGCTTGATAATAAAAATGAGGACGTATTTGAGGACTAGCTTGATAAAAAAATGAGGACGCGTTTGAGGACTAGCTTAATAATAAAAATGAGGACGTGTTTGAGGACTAGTTTTAATAATAAAAACGAGGACGTAATTGAGGACTAGCTTGATAATAAAAATGAGGACGCGTTTGAGGACTAGCTTTAATAATAAAAATGAGGACGCGTTTGAGGACTAGCTTGATAATAAAAATGAGGACGTATTTAAGAACTAGCTTGATAATAAATATAAGGACGCGTTTGAGGACTAGCTTTAATAATAAAAATGAGGACGTAATTGAGGACTAGCACGATAATAAAAATGAGGACGTATTTGAGGACTAGCTTGATAATAAAAATGAGGACGTATTTGAGGACTAGCTTGATCATAAAAATGAGGACGCGTTTGAGGACTAGCTTGATAATAAAAATGCAGAACGCGTTTAGGAACTAGTTTTAATAATAAAAAAGGAAAACGTAATTAAGGACTAGCTTGATAAAAAAAAATGAGGACGTATTTGAGGACTAGCTTGATAATAAAAATGAGGACGTGTTTGAGGACTAGTTTTAATAATAAAAACGAGGACGTAATTGAGGACTAGCTTGATAATAAAAATGAGGACGCGTTTGAGGACTAGCTTAATAATAAAAATGAGGACGTGTTTGAGGACTAGCTTGATAATAAATATGAGGACGCATTTGAGGACTAGCTTCAATAATAAAAATGAGGACGTAATTGAGGACTAGCACGATAATAAAAATGAGGACGTATTTGAGGACTAGCTTGATAATAAAAATGAGGACGTGTTTGAGGACTAGTTTTAATAATAAAAACGAGGACGTAATTGAGGACTAGCTTGATAATAAAAATGAGGACGTGTTTGAGGCCTAGTTTTAATAATAAAAACGAGGACGTAATTGAGGACTAGCCTGCTAATAAAAATGAGGACGCATTTGAGGACTAGCTTCAATAATAAAAACGAGGACGTAATTGAGGACTAGCTTCATAATAAAAATGAGGACGCGTTTGAGGACTATTTTTAATAATAAAAATGAGGACGTATTTGAAGACTAGCTTGATAATAAAAATGAGTACGTGTTTGAGGACTAGTTTTAATAATAAAAACGAGGACGTAATTAAGGACTAGCCTGAAAATAAAAATGAGGACGCATTTGAGGACTAGCTTCAATAATAAAAATGAGGACGTAATTAAGGACTAGCTTCGTAATAAAAATGAGGACGCGTTTGAGGACTAGCTTTAATAATAAAAATGAGGACGTGTTTGAGGACTAGTTTTAATAATAAAAACGAGGACGTAATTGAGGACTAGCTTGATAATAAAAATGAGGACGTGTTTGAGGCCTAGTTTTAATAATAAAAACGAGGACGTAATTGAGGACTAGCCTGCTAATAAAAATGAGGACGCATTTGAGGACTAGCTTCAATAATAAAAACGAGGACGTAATTAAGGGGGGCGCCTACTTTAGAAGGTAAAAAACTGCGTACATTTCAGGAATTTTTTTCTCAAACACATTTAAATAAATCGATGCGAGATTTAGTGTTTGTTTTCTTATATATTTAAACCTTTGAAATATAATTTTTTCATTAAATGAAAATAGAATTTAATAATAAAATAAACGCCATATATATAACGCATCGCTGCTGAAATTTTCCCATTGCGTACAACCTAGGGCCCACAATTCTTATCTAAAACAAAAAAACAAAATTTTTTCTTTAAATATACATTATTGCCTTCTGTATGAATCAAAAGATTTCAATAGAAAGTAAAAACTGAAATTTTCACATGACTTTTAAAAAAAATTTAATTTTTGCCAAAAAAAATCTCATTTTTTCTTTAAAAGAAAGCATTAAATTTAACTCTATCAAAAACAAATTTAATTCATACAGAAGAGACACTCTTTATCTTCAAAACAAGCCCAAATAGACTTTAATCGGTTGATTAGATTTTTGTCTATCGTGTACGCAAACTACAAAAACAGTGTTTTGAGAAAAACGCGTTTAAAGATTGAAAAA